AAGAGATGTCTTCTTTAATTTCTGGTAAGCATGCCCTTTGCATAAAAATACTCCATAGCCATAGTTATAGGTACCTTTACATGTGGAAAAGGTTCCGTAAATGAGGCAGGGGCAATCCAGCATCTTAATTCATCCCCACCTCCTATAGCTTTAACTTTTTAAGAAATGCTATGAATGCTTCGCTTGTGTATGGGGGAGAAAGGATGGCCTAAGGAAGAGAGCATTTGCCTCTCACCAGTGTAGCTCAGGTTCAATTCTGGCCTGGTGCCTTGTGGGGGTTGAGTTTGTCATTGGTTCTTGTCCCTTTTCACCAGGCAGTCCAGTTTTCCTTCCTGAAAACCAACATCTCCAAATTCCAAATGATCTAGATGGAGGACTAGCATGAAAATCAGCCAAGCTGATGTGGCCTCCTTAGTAAATATTGTAATTTAACTTTTTTAGAACAACGTTTCAAGGGTGTAAATTCGTTTTATATCTTTGTAGTCTTTAAGACACCAGTACTCAGGTGTGTGGATAGAAATAATACTAGTGGCATTCATTCCTGTAGACAGTAAATAATCTATAATTAACCTGACAGTGCAAACTTTCCTAGGTGGTGAGCCTGTAAATGCTCAGAGTATAATCGGATATAATCTTGTTTCTCAGCATTGTCTTGTGTGTTCTTAGGGAAAATGTGCATTTTTAAAAGCATGAGTTAGTGATAGAACTAGTTGTAATTGCAGGGTGTGATAGAATTTTTTTTCTGTCCACTATTCTGTAAATATAACACAATAGAAAAGAAGTATTATTGCAGAGTGCTGCTGTGAAAATAATCTTTACCATTAGGTTTCAAGGTTTTAAAATATTGCATACAAGGTCATTATTATATATTATTATATGGCTTGTGTTTGTAGGTGATGTAACACATGCTCTGATTGGCCAATTGTAGGGCATCATTCTTCCGTAATGCCCACGGGCTGATTACGGACCCGCAAAACTAAAGCAGAAAGCCAGATAATAAACAACTTATTAACCTTGAACATTCGGTCTTTATGGGAAAATCTTAAACCTCAGCCCTGCCAACTTGGTTTGAGATTTTCCCATAAACACCTCACTCTCAGTGAATAAGTAGGTAGTAATATGTAGTAAATGGTACAGTTTGTTGTGTAGATATAGTATATTGTTATTACCACTAGATTTTAACTTAAATATCCTTGCCTAGTTATATTAATATATAGAAACAAGGTACATCCACCTTGTGTGAGTCGTTCACCTCACAAGAAAATGTGGTTGACTGAGTTGACAAAACATAAGAAATTAGGTTAAGCCTTGTTACTTGCATTGTATCTTAAATGCTTTGTTGTCACATTCAATTTATAGATTTTTTTAGAAAAAAAAATTATTGCAAAGCAAAATGATGATCATGAAGAGTCTTCTGAAGGTTATCTTATTTTTTGCAAGGTGCGACTTGAAGGCTAAAATAGAACAAGTTTATGTTATTGCAAAACGTAACAGGAAGGCAATATCACAAAACTTGTGGATAAAAGAACTTAATGTTTAGTACCAGAAGTAGTTTTGAGAGAAAACCGAAAAAAAAAAATGAAGGTGTTTGATGGTATGTTGTAACTCTATCATTTTATTGTTTGTTTCAGTTTTTTGATAAATTTTACATTGTGTGGTGTAATAATCTAATTTTGGTTTTTGCTAATTCTAGTTCTAATAGTTGGCAATAAAGTTGACTTTAATGTTGACGTTTTTTTGTCCTTCTAACATGTTGGTTTCGTCGGGGGTATACCCGAGAGGCAGTGTGACCAAGTTAGTAACAACATGTTTGTTACATCCCAACAAAAAAAATTCCCAAAACAAATATTATTATGTAATCCTGTACAAACAGAGCCAGCATCCCTTGCTGGAATTATCAACTAGATCAACCCAATGCATCATCAAGAATTCAGCCTTTGGGCTTTTCTCTCAAGCCTGGACCAGGAAATGCATCTACGAAGATCAGAGGAGATAAAAAAAATGTGAAGCACAGTCTGGATGTGAAAACATAAGATACGCAGCAACTTATGTACGTTTGGAAAGAATTCATGGTTGCATTCTTCTGATGCCTGAGCTGCACTGCTGGGTAGGTCTTGATCCACGTTTAGCCAGTTGCCCCGCCAACGGAAAAGTTCCTCATGAAAAACCCGGGGTAATGGTAGGACATCTGCATAGTACTGCAAAGCGGCTTGTACAGGGTTTCCCAAGCGAGAAACTAGCAAGGCTGGAAGTAGGCACGGGAGGCTCGTATGATCCGTCCAATTTATGTACCCTTATAATATTATAACCTGCGATATAGCATGTGATGCCTTTTTAAATTGATTTTCTTTTGTTCTTTAAAAACGAAAATCTCGTCTCGCGGAATTTCGAAAGGGGGGTTCCGATACTTTTTTTCTCTTGAAATAAAACCCATTTTCATAACCCAAAAGGGGGGTTCCAGAACCTGGCTACGCCCCTGTGACAAAAGTTTGCTTTTCTTTTATTTTCAGACATCGACATAAACAAAGAAGGATTAACCTATGTCGTGCATTTGATATGATTGTGTGACTTACTAGAAGAGTGACAAGAGTGGCCAGGCAGCAAAGCCTACAGGTTATTGCAGGCCTTGGTTGCCTTGTTGAGGCGCGTTCTATTTTGCATTTGACAATGTCTGTTGATCTCGTCAAACACACTGGAGGATGCCATTGTGGTAAAGTTCGGTTTGAGGTGTTAGCCAAGGCTGAGCTCAAAGCCTACGATTGCAAGTAATAGCCTAATCAATTTCTGCACTAAACTTCACTAGACTTCATGGCCTACACTTTGCCCACTTAACAAGAAAATCGCGAAATCGTGAAGGCTTTAACGACTATGAGTTATTACTCCTTTATTTATTCATTGTTGCTTCTTCTTTCAGAGGAAGCCCAGGCTCTCAAGGTTTGCTGAAATCCGCGTGATTCGCGTGAGATTCGCGTGACATTCTGCTTTGCATGACAATGTAGTTCAGATTAACATTTATAGGTCTTCATTGTTGAACTTCTTTTGCTAATTTGAAAATATTATCAGCAGCTGTAGCATATGTGTAAAGAAAGGAATGTTACCTGTTCTTGTTCCAAAGGAGAATTTTAAATTATTAGAGGTAAGCAAGTACTAGCAGAAGGGCTACTTAGGAAATTTTGCGGGACGTGGTTGTAGAAATAAACAATTAACCGTAAACAGGTTTGGTCGAAATAAAGTAAGCTTTAACTAAGTTTGCAGGCCTGCTATTACACTCAACACTCAAAGGGTGAGAAAACTCTTATTAAACTACATGGCTGTACGTAACAAGGACTCGATAAGCGGTAAAAATCATTGACAGGCAGGTAATATGCACCCCTACCACCCCCCGATTAAAGATTGCACTCGTCAGCAGCAGATCCAGGACGCTGAAATACAGGGGCTGCAGCAGTTGGTATGACAACTTAGGGGGAGTGTGGACATGCCACACATAAAATAATTAAAAAAAACTAGTTTTCAGTGAGGTGCTATTTCGTGCATATTTCTGACATCTTTATGGGATTTTAAAGCCAAGGCTTTGAACGGCTGCTATTTTTGATCTGTTTATCAGGGAGAGGAGCATATCTCATGTTACACTTTCAACACTCACCAAGCTAAGCACTACTTCTGTACAACATGTGGAATCCACCCATTCTACCAACCTCGCACTAATCCTAATGGGCGTGGCATTTCACTGCATTGTTTGGATGAGGGAACAGTGAAGAAAGTCAATATTGTTCCTTGTAATGCCTTAGACTGGAAAAACTGGCAGAAATACCTTGACGAGAATCCCAAGGCAAGAAACCTTACTGAGAATGTGGAATAGTACATACATAGCACATTAGTATTCTGATGGTAGTCTTGTAAATTATGAACGGTGCTATGTGTTCATCTATTAAGATCTATACACTGTTTAGCTAGCCCTTTTCATGCTTCTTAACAGTTTCACGACAAAGGAAATTATTTGAATCTGTGGATACCAGTATACATTTTAACTGAGTTAGAGACTTTAATCAACTTTTATACTGTAAAGTTGAGTCATGTTGCTGTCATGTTTCAGGATACTTTCAATGTCCAAGTAGCTTGAAAGCTCTGGAGTTGGTCAAAATATTGACCGTTTTCATGTTACAACTTGATTGTATATGAAGCCTGAGTAACTTATTAGTGTTTTAGAAATGGTACTGATTGCAAACTAAAATTTGTAAAATAGTAAGGTGAGCTGGACTTCAAAGAAGCTTAGATTTCCCCATCCCAGATATTGCACATTTCTAGAATTTTTGATACATTTTGTCATTTTAAAACTCAAGAACAGTATAATCTAGAGTAGAAATTGACTTAACGGTTGCGTGAAAAAAATGAGTAAAACAAGACAGCAGTACTGTTTGCTTGTCTGCTCACCATTGTTATGTCGGGGAAGCAATGGAACACTCTCCCTCCAAAAAACAGTGGAACAGTAGAAATCAGCATTCTCCAGTGTGTTTTTAAAATAAATTATTGTAACTTTTATAGTGCTTATTGAAAATTTACTGCATCTGGTGAATGGTATTTTAGGTATATATTTGTTACAGTACATACTGATTTTAGGCAACGTTCCTGGTAGGTGTAAGTCCCGACTCTTCTGTTTATGATTTTATCATACATACATTTATTGTAACTCCCAATCTAAACAGCAGCTTGCCTTAGGTGACTTCTAGGCATTAACTTCAGTGGGCAAGTTACATGGTCTAGTATGTTGTTTGAAAGATGTTTCTGAGAAATAACAATAATAATAATAATAATAATAATAATAATAATAATAATAATAA